ATTTTCTGATTGCTGTTATTTTGTGGGGGTGGGACCGAGTCTGATCACCTGGCTCCCTGCCTCGGAGGCTTTTTTTTTTCTTTTTTAGTTGAAGAGTTGACTCTATCCCTGTCGCCTGTTAAAAGGGCGCCCCGGGATCTGTGTGATTTCCCGTGCAGTGACTCACTGTGTCGGCTTAAACAGCGGCGCTGAGATTCATGGCACTTTTTTGCCCAGGAGTCTCCTGGCCTGGCTCCCTGTTCAGCCCCCTCTTTAATCAGATGAATGGGCGGCTTCCTGGGTCTCCAATTGCCAGCCAAAAGGGCACCTGGAGCAGTGTATTTTGTATGGAGAACTGCCGGCCAGGGGGCCCACAAAGCAGCTGCGTGGGGCAAAGCAGCTGCGCTGACCAAAAGAACTGCGCCGGCCACAACAGCCAAGCTGGCGACCCGTGGGGCTCCTCTGCTTGTGAATCTCCTGGTCCGTGGGCTATAAAAATGCAGCGTCCACTCACCCTCTGTGCTTTCCCTGGGAGCTGCAACTCTGAGCTGTTCCTAAATGGCCATCTTGGATCTTCCCTCTTGCCCATGTTTTAATTGAATGGTTTGGTTTTTTACTCTTGAGTTTTGAGAGTTTTGTAGATTTTCTAGATATTAGTCCTTTGTCAGATATGTGGTTTGCAAATACTTTCTCCTACTCCTGTGGGCTTATCATTTCATCCTCTTAACAGCTCTGTCATTTGACATATACACATTTTGGATTGTTACGTGGTAGACTGGTAGACTGACCCTTCTATCATTCTATTTTGTCCCTCTCTGGTAAATTTCTTTGCTGTTTTATGTGATATTATAGCTTGTCTTGCTTTCCTCTAATATTTGCATGGTGTATTATTTTCCATCCTTTTACTTTCAACTTGCTTATATTCTATGTGAGTTTTTTGTAGATAGCCTATAGTTAGGTTATTTTTTTTAATGCCCTCTGCTAATCTTTTCATTTATATATTTAAACCATTTACCGTTAATGTAATTTTATGTTAGGGTTTAAATCTTCCATTTTATTACATTCTGTTCTTTGTTTTTCTGTTTTCTTTTTCTTTCTATTGGTTACTTTAACATATTTTTAGAATTCAATTTTTACTCATCTGTAGAGTTTCTGCACATATCTCTTTGTAGAGCTTTCTTAGTATTTGCTGTAGTATAACACCACTTATGAGAGTCTACTGGTGTCATTTTAGCAGTGGAGTAAAAGAGCCGTCCTTTTACATCTCCTTTACCTTCTGTTTACAATATAATTGTCTTAAATATTTCCTGAACCACATATGTGCCCATATTTTTGTTTACCATGTTTTCTTCCTTTTTAATGTTCCAAGGTTCTATTGTTTATCCTTTCCTTTCTGTTTAGAGAACTTCCTTAGGTTAGGTCTTCTCTAGCTTTCTTTATCCGAGAATGTCTTGATTTCACATTGAGTCCTGGAGGAGATTTTCTCTGGGTGTAGGATTCTGGGTTAACATTTATTTTTTTTTAGCACTTGAAAAATTCTGCACTACTACTTTCTGGCTTCCATGATTCCTGATGAGAAATCCTTTGTTATCCTGAATGCTTTTCCCTCTAAAGATAAGGTGTCATTTTCCTGTTTTTCAAGATTTTTTCTTTGAGTCTTCAGTGTTCAGAAGTTTATGATGTGTCTTGGCATGGATTTCTTTATGTTCATCCTATTCGGAGTTCATTTTGCTTTTTGAATATGTAGATTTATGTCTGCCCCCAAATTTGGGAACTTTTCAGCCATTCTTTAAGTACTTTGTCAGTTCTCTTTCTTAGACTATGATGTCATAATTCTTAGGTCTTTTGTTATAGCCTCATAGGTCTTTAAGGCTCTTCATTTTTTAGAAGTCTGATTTCTCTTTATTGTTGAGTTTGGTGGTTTCTTTTCACTGTACCTTAAACTCCTGGACTCAAGCAGTTCTCCTGCCTCAGTCTCCCTAGTAGCTAGGACCATAGGCACATGCCACCACACCTGGCTAATTACAAAATTTTTTTTCGTGAGACAGGGTCCTTCTCTGTCCCCTTCATTTTGTTGTTCTATAAAACAATTTTTTTTTTTTTTGAGCCAGTCTTGCTCTTGTTGCCTAGGCTAGAGTGTAGTGGCACGATCTCAGCTCACAGCAACCTCTGCCTCCCAGGTTCAAGGGATTCTCC